AAAGTTGCTGATTGCTGGGCCAAGCAAAGAAACAGAAAACTCAGTATTTCTGCAAGACATTTGCAATACTAAACATGCAGTGCACTTTTATTGTATACATTAATTGTATACAGATTGTACATGTTTTATTTCCCCATTTTCTTTTTATGACAAACAATATGTTGATTTATGCTAATTATTATGCAAATTAGCCACGACTCTATGGAAAATTACTGGGGAGAACACTGAAACCAGTCTAATGGACAGGCGACTTTTAGCTTGAAGGTAATCAAAAGGCACCCAGAGCAGGGAGTAATACTTATTGTGTATGTTGTGTTGTGTTCTCTTTTGTATTCAATTGACATATTTTTTGTTGTTGAAAAAAAATGGTCACTAGTTGGCCATTTTGAGCGATGTCAATAGCAATTGGATGAAATCAACTCAGGCATGCCTGAGAAATAGTTGATAATACATGTAGTTTTTTGGGACAATCAATGGTTAACTAAACAAAAAATAAATAGATATGTGAATATTCCAATACGACTTCTTTGTGGCAACTTTGAACAAAATTAATACCAGGATGTCATAGAAAGGATGCTTGACACATGCACAGACGAAAAGACACTTAAATACAAGTCCCCGTTTTGAACAACATTTGATGGGAACTAATAAGTAACTAATGCAGAACAAAACAGAGTATGTAGAGTTTGAATGAAACAAGAACATGAATTCATCAGGAGAATTACTGAAAATGTCTTGCCTAAGAACATCAACAAATCAAGTGTTCACCATTCATTGGCCAGGAAGGCCATTGCCATAAATTCTCTACTCTCAGCCTTTGTATGTTTTGCAACAAATATATTACCTCCACAGCTGATTCGTCTAATGCAATTTAATGTGCCTTTAAAATAATGAACTTTCATTATGTAACCATACATAATCCATACTTACTGTCTTTTAGCTAACTTTTCCCCACTAGCAACTGAGAATGTACCAGCCTAATAAAATAAAACATTCAAAACACATTAGTTAATGATATCACATTATTTCTAAATTAAAATTTAAGAATCAATAAAAGAAAACAGGGAATTAACAGTCTTCTCCCCAGGATGTAAACAGTGTGGCAGTCCCGCAACAGTGCTTCGATTTGCCGCCACGGTGATTAGCAAGACTGCCACAGTGCTTTTTTCATTAGGGATCTCGACACGCTGGTCAGCCCGACCAGCACTCAAAATTAGCGGCCACCACGGAAACGCTTCCGACCAGGACTATTGTCATATTGTTATTATACTTAAATACCGACCGACACGCATCCTGCCAGTTGTGGATAATAATTTGTAAACAATACTAGACATAGTCCCACGATGTGGCAGCGGCTTTAAACAATACAAGTCAATTTTGTAAAATTAGCACCTCTTTGTAAGTAAATACTTTCTGACGATAGACGCAGTCTTTAGATTAAAAGCTAAAATTCCTTCAAAATCAATTCCACCCCGATGTAACATGGGCAAAGCAGAGTTCACGATCAGTTTTACGCTACTCAAGAAAAAACGACGTGTTTGTTGCGTGATTGGGTAAAATACATTTGAATTGTTATCATCGTGAATCATGTAAAAACTCTTCCTTCAAGACTTCTTTTACCTTTTAAAAATTGCTAATCACCTCTTTCGAAAACCATCATGCAGTTTTCATCAGAAATCCATACCAACACATCGTGCTACGACATCGCTTTACTTCCGCAATGTAATTTTTATGATCTCACGATCACTCGGAAAACTTCGGGTTCTACCGGCATTACCATGCGGCATTCTGATTGGTCAATGGCGTTTTTTACCTAATGGGTCAAAGGACACATGCCAGTCAACTAATGCGTCACAACTATCATGGCGGGTCTGTGTTCTTACTGAAGTGATCAAGTGATCAGAAACAAGTCATTGTCAATGACACGTCCCCGTTCCGTTCATATTTGAGTGACATATACATTCAAAGCAGATCATGACCGAAATGCACCTGCATATGTACAACACATTGTACTAAATCTGAACAAAATCCATCCATGCATGACTGAGATCTGGTTCCGGAATTGTGAAAATACGTGATTTTAATGCATTTTCGGTCTTAAAATGGCCATCATTCAGCTATTGTTAAGCGGATCATGAAACAAATGCACATATCTATTTGTGACATGATGTACCATGTGTGTGTGAAGTTTGAACTTGATCAATCCAGACATGTCTTGGATACGGATCCAGAACTGAATTCTTTAAGAAA